TTCCGCGATTCTCGATACCTGGCGTATAATAAATTTTCTACCAGGAAAATCTATACCTATTTATTATGATGTTATATTGTGTATCTTCTGCCTTCTTTACTACCTACCTACTTACCTATCTATCGTCATCTATATATTAAGGAATACTGTATAWTATACCATGTGACTCAGAATTGTAACCTTTGCAGCTAATTAAATTTTTAGCCTGATTAAAAGAAATTAAGGCCAATTGCAAAAGCCAATTTAGAGCACTTATTTATATGCCCAAATTTTCCTAAATTTACCACTATACTACCTATCTAATGTAGGTAGAAATATAATTTTTAAATACGTCTAATATACATACTATCGCACACATGGCTCAATAAACTGTTTGACATCAATTTATTGTGCCCTTCCCTCGCCCCCTACAAATAAAATAATTTAAACTTGTACTAATAGTTAATACGTCACGTTATTCCATTCCACCAACTCCACTTTCTGGTTCATCCAAAGTGTTAGTATATAAATGGTTTTACATATATTCCAAACTTACTAAAACATTGACTGTATAATTCCTGCTTTATCGGACAAATTCCAACTTCCTTAGCATTGTACTGTTTCAAAAGTGTATCAAATTTCTCATTGAGTTTTTTCACATTGATTTCGGTGGCCGGTTTATTTGATATACATTGACGAAATTTTTTACCATCTTTTTCCCATTCTCTTGGTGGTAATATGCTGTTCAAAACGTCATCACAACTCTGTCGTTCACATTCATCCGCATCATCACCAGATTCTATTGGACGAGCATTGTTTTTAACAGAATTTGAATCCTAAGTAAATCATTTAAATTTTTTCAATCTATTCTGAAAAAACGTTGGTTCTACCTGGTCTACAGAAAAATATCTGGTAAATGGAAAAATAAATGAAAATATATWTTATCTACTGTCTAAAGTTAAATTATTTGTTTGCAGTATTTAAAAAAGGAAGTGTACCTATTTACAATAAACAGTAGATAATTAAATACTAACCTAAGTATTTTATAAAGACATAGTACCTAGATACATTAGGTATATTAAATTCATTTATTAACAAAAAGTATTCAAATATTAGACCTAAATCGTTTGCAAAATGTATTCTAATATCAAATAAGACCTTATAAAATCAATATTATTTTCTAACTGTACTATTCATGTGGCTCCAGACATATTTGTTTTTATAACAATTTATTGCATAAATATTAAAAAATATTGGTTCATTATACAGGCTGAATATAATATAGGTACCTATTAATTTGTAGGAAAATTAAATAGCAAATATTTATGTTTTATTAGTTGAGTTATTATATTTTTGAATAATAAGTTAATTGAAGGTCTGATACCATAGTTCTAGAATATCGTTACAACTTTACAAGTAGGTATTTTCAGGTTATGACACCAAACCTCACTCATAATATATTATWATATTTACTTGTTTAGTCTGGTTGTTGTTGGATATCAATATGGGATTTTCAAATTGCACCAAATTGACTTTAGATCGAATTAATAATACTTTCTCATCAGTGCTCATTTTAAATACCTTCGATAACAAAAAAATTAATATACGATACATCTACCTTTATGTAATGGTCACAATTGCCAATATAGTTAATAACAGAGTTATACAACAAATAGATAGGCATATCAATATAATTAAGATAAYGCATGAAGATTTGCGAATATTTGGTAATTATGTAATATAATTATTAATTATATTAAAATTTATCTTACTTGTTAAAGTTAGGTATATATATAAAATATTATACCGTTTAAACAAAAATGTTGATTATTATTTTCTTTTTTAATTGGACCTAATTATTTATTAGGAATATATTAACAGCTTTAAGTCATAATAATTTGTAATAAACAAGTGAATAGTCATTAAAATATAACATGTTTAATGTCATAGAAACTATCGATTAAAGAATAATAATATAATATATAATCAGTGATAATGATAAACTGATAAATAAAAGTATTCAGATAGGTACTGCTAAATAAGTTTCAAACTGTAGGTACACCACTTAGATTTTACAACCACTTGAACCACTAAACAAGTATGGAAGTTTTCAAATAAAATAAAATGATATATGTTGTCTCATAAAAAAAATAGTGTCTCAATGTACCCCCTCTTCCCTAAACAGCACTTATGTATAGTAATATAAAGTCTATGRGTTCAATTAAACACGATGCAAAAACTAYAAAAAACTARATAAAAGTTTGGCTATGAAATCGACTGTGGAAAAAGACACCAGTGTTTTCCACTTACTTACACGGTAGGGTACACAGTTGTTTTAAATGTAGTTTATGAATTTAGGAATTGTCTCCAATAAGTACTAGCTCTGTTGATTGTTGCAATTTTTTCCTCTATTCAATATTTTTTTGTATCTTAAATATTGGCCTATAGTTGTATTAGGCTCACACCTTCATATAGTACATTTATGAATATAAAATTTAATTTTGATATAATAGATAAAAGGTGGGAGAATGGAGAAACTTACGTGTTCAATAAATTAAATATTTAATTTTAATGATACTAACTTCACTGATTTAGTTGTTCATGTTTAAATTAAATCTCTCAAGAAAACGAGTCCCATCATCATTAAAACATTGATATATTACTAATGAATACAGTTTCAATATTCATGCAGAGACGAACAATTTGTTGCAAACAAATTTTTTTTAGTGACATTGAAATTGGCAAATTTTTCCATGTGGTTATCGAGAGTAAAAACAAAATTGTATCAGGAATTACTTCAGAAGATTCCCGTGGCTCACTCTCACCACCTAACAAAATATGTGAARCAAAAACACAAGAAGTAAAAAATCAAATTACTTCTTTTTCTATATACAAAAGCCATTACATTCGTTGAACAAATCATTTGTTACAAATGATAAACTATACCTACCTTCACACTTCACCTTAAACAAAATGTGTAAACTATATTATCAAGAAAACCCAGAACCAGTAAGAAAAACCATTTATCAAACAGTATTTAAAAGTATGAATATTAGATTTAATTTAAGAAAATTAGATACCTGTAATAAATGTTTTGTGTTTATGATGCAAATTCAAGTTAATAAAGAAAAAATACTTTCACTTATTAATATCAACAATATTATCATATTGGAAGTGCAGATTTGGCTTATGAAGCTAAAAKAAAAGATAAATAGATAGCAAAACTGATGAAAAACATGTTTGCATATCATTCGACTTGCGACAATCTTTAGCAACACCATTTATTTTACCATCTGTTGCTTTTTATAAACAACAATATTGGACATACAATTGTAGCACACATAATCTTGCTACARCAGGTCAATCAAATTGTTACTTACGGCATGAAAATATTGCTCGAAGAGATKCCAATGAAATAGAATCCTGTATTTTCAAAGAACTGATGAACTTGCTAAAAAGTATTACAATTGTTACCTTATATTCAGATCCTTGCGGAGGACAACAAAAAAATTCTCATATTGCAGCCACGTTAGGTGCTTAACTTAAAAAAAAAATCTTCAACAAAAATAATAAATCAACCTAATAGTTCCTATAGTGTTTGGTAACAAACATATAAAACATATATATAACAGTGACCATTCCCAAATTTAAAAACAAAAAAAGTAAAATTTCTAAATGTCATCCCAGAGACTGGACAACTCTTATAAGATGTATCGACAAAAGAAAGCTATAATAAATTAAGTTCATGAACTTAAACAAAATGATTTTTATGATTTTGCATCATTAGTTAAAGGACCATTGATTTAACATAACAAAAATGAATAAAGTAWAACATTTTTATGGCATGATAGTGCTTGGATAATATATGATTCAACCCAATAATTAGGATATTATACTGTAAAATAAGTTTAAATTATGCCTAATCATTCAATGTGATTAACTTCAAAAAAAGAAATAAAACTGTATGGCTTCTAATTTTAAATTGAAAAATACTTATAATCCTCCAGTTCCTATTTCAAAAGAGAAAAAAAGATCATTTTGACATTTTACAATTAATACCAAACATTTACCACAATTTTTATAAGAACATAGTAATTGATGAAGAAATACTGCTAATAATCTTGATTTATATAACTTGAATGATAAAGATAATAATCAATAATATTAATTATTGATATAAAATTGTTAAGGTAATGTTTTTTGTTTTTATGTTTAAATATATTTTTATGATTATGAAGTAATATTATATTTTGAATTTAAAGTTTTATATAATAATATTATTTAAATACTTTATCATAATAGAGTAATTATTAATATATGGATTTAAAGTGCAACAAATAAGCTATAACGCGCTAATATCCTT